AGCAGGAGCCCCAAGCTGGTGGCCAGGCAAACCCTGGAGCCACCCCAGCATGATCCCACTGTGCTCTGTTCTCAGTTTTAACCTTTCAGGAACTAATGGGCAGCTCCTGACAGCTGACACGTTCAACATGAACTCTGGAGGTTAGCACAGTCACTTTGCTGCTCCATGGTTCCCAGCCAGGGCTCACACCAGCAGTGCTGGCTGTTCAGGCTGCTCTTCCTCGGTGTATTTAATGATCGAGTCTAGTGGACTTTGACCAGGATTGCCAGCTTGGGCAGTGAAAGCTCAGCAGTCCCTGAGGCTGGAGTCCTCATAATACATCTGCATCCAAGATTGGCTTCTCACTCCTTTTACATGCAGATAATAGCCTGAAAAACATAATTCCACTGAATTGAGTACACCAGGGCACTTAAAACCCGAGGGAGGCTACTTTTTGAAATCAGGTAGTTACACTGATCTTGAGATTTTGCAACTTTCAACTCAGTCTTCTAATGCTGGGGGTGGCTGAGCAGCAGGTTGTTTCCCTCCCTTTCATAGGAGGGTAAGTAAGGAGCTTGGGACACAGCTGGAGAGATGGAGCAGAGCCTTGTGGCAGCAAAGACCATGTCCTTTCAGCTGCCAGCTTTAAACAACCTTTCAACCAGCAAGAAGATGCCTAGAGCAGGGAGAGCCCCTGCTCACAGCCTGGCTGGCACTGGCTTGCAGGATGCTGTAAATCCCAACATTAGTGCAAAGCTGTTACCAAATCTCTCCAGAGTTTTGGCAGGACTCCTCAAAAATCATATGCTAAACCCACCCCATAGTACTTTTGATTTACCCTTTGTTGTTTGATGTGGGGAATGAAGGAGATAAGATTTGCATGAAGAACAGTTTGGGAATGAGCTCTAAGGCCTTGGTACTTTCACAAACCCTGGGGCGATGAGCTGGGGCATGTAAGGCCAGAGGATGTGGGGGTTGTGAGAGGGTCTGCAGCATTGTGATTGAAGTGTTTACCTGCAGAGTTTCACAGGGGCCAATGTGATTGAACATTTTATGTATGTGCAGGTTGTGAAAATAGCGAACAAGAGGATAAAAAGGGCTTGGTGGAAATAAACAAGGATTTGAGTCTCTGCATCAACTTGAGTCCGTGCTGTGAAACGCCACAGTTTGAGCCTTCCCCAGAACCAATCACCCTCCTGCTTTTTGGTTTTGCAGCCTCCTCTTATTAACTCTGGAGTTTAAAGGGGAAACAGCAGCATCCCATAGATGAAGGATGAGGAATAATTTCAGCAACATAAGCAAAGGGATGATTGCAGGGCAGGCAGCTGTGCAATGAGCAGGTTCATTTCTTGCTGTAGAAAGTAACCTTAAGTAACTGGATTTCACAGTGAGCAAAGTTTGGGAGGAAATTCCCCCTTGCAGTTGCTCCAACAGGAGGAAAGCACAAGCCTTGGGCACTGCAGGAGAGCCCTGGTGAGAACACAAGATGGGGAGTGCAGAGCCTGTCCCTTCCCAAGCACATGACCCCAAATCCTGGCTAGCACCAGCACAGTCAGGATTTCCCATTGACCCAGAGGAGGTTCCCCAGCTGCCATGCAGCAGTCACTGCTAAGTTCCTTTCTCTTTGCCTAATGCTCTTCCCACCTAGACATTAACTGGACACTTTCCTCCAAGAGATCAAGCACGACACCATCGTGCTGACAGACAGCTACGATGACCCTGCCACAAAGTGAGTTTGGCCCCAGGATCAACACGTGGCTCCTCAAAAACCCACAGCTGGGGGGAGCTGGAGGTGCTGCTGCCAGGAGCCCAGAGGGGACCGAAGGGGATGCCCACTTGACACCACACTAACACCTTCTTACCCTCTTTCAGGATGAATGACAAGGTGCGGGCACATTTCATTAAGCTGGGCAGCAGCCACGTGAGCAAGCTGGGCTTCAGGGACAACTGGGTCTTCTTGGGAGCAAAAGGGTTGAAGAACAAGAGCCCCTTTGAAGAGGTACATGGATGTCCCCTGCCACCAGCTCTGGAGGCTTCCATCCTTTTCATAGCACCTCTCCTGCCTGTCTGCAGAAGACAGGGGCCAGTGGTGTTATTCCATGCTTCTAGTTTTGCCCACTGCAGACTCACACTGTGCATCAACCACCTCATTCATTCACTCTCTTTTTTCCCTTCAGTACATCAAAAACAATAAGACAACAAATAAATACGACAGCTGGCCTGAGCTGCTGGAGATGGAGGGCTGTGCGCCCAGGAAAATGGATTAGCATCAAGCCCCAGCCTGCCATGGAGGGCAGTTTCCACCAGTCTCACAGAGACACCAGCCCCATAGTGGGGTCTCCAACCACCCCACACCGACCCCAGCTCCCCAGCTGCTTGGTCACACAGCCTGGCAGCAGCTCCCAGAAACTGACCCCATGTGTAGGGCTCAAAAGAACTGTGCCTTCAGAGCCTGAGGCTTCAGCCAAGCTGTCCTCATCTATGGGTCGATTCAGGGTATTTTATTCTTCTCTTATTAAACCAAAAACTTTATAGAAAGTTTGTCCTATTTCTTCAGTAAGATTTCCAATTATAAATCAATACCTTCTCATTTCCATTTACAAGCATAATCCATGCTTTTCCCTGCATGCCTCATCCTCTGCACTAGCTGGGCATCACCATCACCCATCTCACAGCGGTGCACATGTGTGCTCCCACCTCCACAGCCCCACACAGCACAGGGCAGAGTCATCCCTGGGGATGCTCAGACCTTGATGGGCTCCCCCTGGAGTCCCCTGCCAACCCCCCACTGTCTCCTAGAGCCACAATAAGGCCAGAAGGCCTCAGGGACATCTTGCAGCAATACAGGTTAATATCCGCACACCAGAGCATTTCGTCCACGTGGTTGCATCTTTCCTGGGTTAAATCCAAGCTAAATCCTCCATAGCACTTCCTCAAAGGTCACGATAATGCCAGAGATGTCCCAACCTGACTTTGCCCTCAAACACGGAGGGATGCGTTTCCAGGCAGTTGAAGTTGTGCAGCATAACCAATAGGTGGCAGCCTTTTACCAGAAGAGCTGGAGTCAGCATCAGTCTGGAGAGAGCACATCCAGGCTGACACCCCACTGCAGGCACCCTCATACCCACTTCATTCTGGAAGCTGCTCCCCAGCCCAGGGCTGGATGACACTGCAGGGCCAGCAAAGCCCTGCAGACCTCCTTCCATAGTGGTTCCCATGCTGTTGCCCATATGCTGAGGAGATCCTTGGGTAGCATCTGCTCCTCACTCATGTCTGGATGCCTTCACCCAAGCACTGTCTGTACCCAAACGCCCCCTGAGCTCCAGCACTGCAGAGATCAGGAAATTACATAAGTTATGGCGCAGATTTACCTGTCATCATGGACAGGGACAAATCTGCATCATCCACAGACTTCAATTTCCTATGATTATACCTGGGTTTTCCTCATTCTTTAAAGCAGAGGGTGGAGAATTTCTGCTGGAGCACTGGGAGCTGTGCAGGGTAACAGGTTGTCCTGCACAGCCCTTTGTGCCTCTAACAGCAGGGTTTGACCCAGCACAGCCTTTAAAGGCAGTTCACATCAGTCATCAAAGTGTTAGGTCTCCTCAGGGGAACAGAACAAATGAGGAGCACTGGCAGGATACAGCCAAGAAGAGACACATCCTTACGGATGAAACCCTGTATCCAAAACCCAGTACCACCACCCAAAAACAGTGAGGCAACCATTTTTCCCTAAACAAGGAAAAATAATAAAAGTATAACACTGCTAAGAATTTCCAGTGCCAAAACAGGAATAAAAAAGCCCGAAACAATCACCATAGAGAAATCCCCCAATAGCTGTAGTATTTTATCCCAACTTATCCTCCTGCGCTCTCAACATTCACCTCATCACACCTAGGGAAGCCTCTGCCATAAATCGATCCCTAAATCTGCTGCAACAGCAGCGCCTAATCCCAAATGCTGAATCATCCCTACCTATGGCAGCAGTGAGAAATAACACAAGGCAGCAGACACAACAGCCCTCACATCACACAGCCCTGCCAGCAGAAATATGCCAACTATTTTAAGCCCCCTCAAAGGATCTAGATTCACTCCTAAGCCAAACTGAAAACAGCCTGAGAGCTGCATGGTGTAAACCAGGGCACAGCATCAGCTACAGCCCCTTTCAGCCACAGAAAACTCTTCCCAGCCCTTTCCAATGCATATTAGAAAATTGGTTTAAAGCCAGAAAAAAAGGGAAATGTGCATTTCAGCATGCTACAGATTGTTCAAACTAGCTCTGAATCAGAGAGCTATTACAAAGGTACATCACTGTTGTCAAATAGGGAGAGCTAAAAGTGCAACCCCCGTGCAGGGACCTCAATCAGCAGCCAGTGTTTTGAGGAGCCATTCCTGCCAAAGCCACTGTGTCCTGATAAAGTGGAGCTTTTCAGAAGTCCAGAATCTGGGAAGCTTCAGGAGTCAAATATAACTTGCTTATGTTTTAAAAGTGTCCGAAAAGGGTGATGGGTGCAGGGATAGCAATCCCCAGCTGCAGTTTTTTAGTGCCTTGGCATTTTGGAAGCTGTTTTACTCCAGAGACAGGTATCTACAGGGCTGGTTTCCACCAGGCAGTGTCTCCCAGAGACTTCAAGCACGAGCCCTGACCTGACACAGCTCCAGGTAACCTGGGCTCAGCTGGGGACCATGGTGTGCTGCAGCACTGCAGCAGCAAACAGGCAGCATGGGGTATTGATAGGAGCAAAGTTTGCTGAATCCAGTGCTGCAACAGGAGCCAAGATGCAGACAGGAAGCAGAGGGATAACCCTCCTTTAATTTGGGGGTACATATTGATTGTGGCAAAGCATCAAAGGAGCAGCTAGGAAGGATGCCACAGGCATGGACTGACAGGTGCTGTGACCCCACAGCTGGGCAAATCCGCATCCTGTGACATCTTGCCCTGTCAAGTGCAATTACTATAATCTTCCACAGCCTCTCAAAATACAGATCCCAGCTTAGAAATCAGGCATCCACAGCCTGAAAGCTGCCTTTGTGCCCAGGCAGAGCCTGGGCGCGAGCCAGCCATTAGGTGCATGAAGAAAATGAGTTCTCCACGTGCTGGAAGAAGGGAGGAAAAGCAAGCTTTCCCACTCGACCCCACTGCAGAGAGGCTGGATTTCACCCGTGTCTTTCCACAGCAGGCACTGAGGAGCCGGGAGCTGCACAGCCACGCATTCCCACAGGAATAACAGGGGCCAGCGATCACGGAGAGCTGGGTGCCCTGCACCCCGGGGGAACAGAGCACAGCTGACACGTCGGACCATGGGGACAGCTCATGGGAAGAAGGTAACGGGGCAGTTCTATTCAGGGATGTTGGAGCAGTGGCGGGATGATGGAGACAGCACCACCTGCTCACATGGTGCTTGTTTTACCAGTAAGGCAGCTGAATACAGTGAGGAATTAGAGGGAAAGGACCCGCTGCTGGGTGTGGGTGTCATTCATTGGGGCTGGATTAAGCAATTGCACCTGATGAGCATCAGGGGTCTCAGGACAACAAAGAGGGGATCAGGGCACTGCACTGGGACAGGGAAAGTTTGGCTTTCTGGGAAGGAATAACAGGCTTGCCCTGAGCACATCCAGCAGCCTGCAGGCTGTCTCCCACAGATGCAGTGCAGAGTGAGCACCAAGTATTTCTTGACCATGATTGCCACCATCTCCCTCCTGGGACTGGGAGGGGCTGGTTCACACAGCACCCATGAGCATCTTCCTCTCCTCCAAATCCCCCAGGAAGAGCAGTCAAACAGCTCTGAAAGGAAACGGGGCTTTATGGAGTCAGAGCCACGCTGAGGCAGCTAGAGATGGTTGTGCTGAGGATGCTGGTTGATGTCATTTTGCTTTCACATCTGATGACATCAGTGCTAGAGATGCATCATCACTCTCCAGCTGTGATGCCCTGATCCGGTATTAGACTTCTGTAGCTTGTCTCACAGTTGAAAGAGAAACATACTCATGCACCATACTAGGTCATTAGCTTCTACTGCAACAAGGACAGCAGTGACCCTTTGCCCCAGGAGGGACCCTACAAGCTCAGCTGAGCATGGTCTGTGGCCTTCAGAGCCATGGGCACATCCAGGCCTTCTGGAAGCTTGCAGACCTGCTGGGCTTTCTCCTAAAGCCAGAGCTAGACACTGCCTCAGGTGAAACACTCAGAAAAGCAACCCACTGGCAGGTGTTAACAACTCTCAGAAGGAAAACAGGACTGATGTGGGACTAGTAAACATTTATCTATTCTCCTGGACCTCAGAAAAGTGCCAGGTACAGGAGGTGCTGCTCCCAGCCAGCCCCTGGCTTCTTCTGCACCCATTCGAGATGCTGATGCTGCACTGGATCCAGCACACAGGGAACCACAGTTGTTCCTGTTGCTCAGGGCTACAGCAGCACACCAAGGAGGAGCCACACTCTGCCCATATGTAATCCCAGACCTTTGCTCACGTGGCCATGACCTTCAGGCCTCAGCACATTTGTACAGGCATTACTGAAAGCAAGGAATAAGCTGGTTAGGTCAGGGTTGTCTCAGTGCCACCCAGTTCAGCCCTGCTGCATACAAAACCATCTATGTCAGCACCCTGACCCCCAGAACAGATGGCCCTTGGACAGCTTTCCCCACTGCTCCCTCTTTCTGAAACACCATGATCCCATCACAGCCCAGCACTGAATGGCCTGGCTTTGAAACACTCCCAGAAGCTCGGTCTCTCCCATTGCACCAGCTTGCTGGCAGCTCCAGAAAGCACCCAAACAATTTTACTTCTATGGGCATCAGAAAGCCAGAGATTTTGCCCCAATTTCAGCCTACCAAATGTTTTCTGGGTCAACAAAAGCCTGTGCTACCACCCAGCTGGCTCAAAGCAAGGATGTCTGACTGGCAGCACCAGTCAGTGCTTTATCCTTAGGCTGAAGCTAATGAGGGATGGAAACAAGACAACTCCTTCTGCTGCATTTCCATGGTGGGCATGCACAGCAGCCTCCAGCCCTTCCCAAGGACCAGGTCAGGTCCAGGTGACAGGCAGGAAAGCTTTCTTTCCCCAGACCTTGCAGAACCAACGTGGCTCAGGGCATAGGGAACTGCCAGGCATGACCCCATGCACCAGCTACATCCTAGAGGACCCACATGGGAGCACAGAGCAGGAGGAAGGCTTCGCACTCCTTGCCAGTACTGCTTGCATTAGCAGTCTCAGCTGGACCCCTTTTAAGTTTATACCAGAGCAGCACTCCAAGAGGATTACAGTAGTGGATTGTGGAACACAAGGCGATTCCCAGCTCCACAACAAAAGGGACCAGAAAGCCTGCCAGCATGGCTCCAAGGGGTTTCTACTTTCAAAGGCTGCAGCTGTTCCCAAACAACCTGTTCAGGTATCACCACTGCCTTGTGAGTCCAAGCCAATATCAGGGCTCCAGCAAGATAGTCCCCTGCAGGGGTACCCTTTGCTTCAAGGCAAGGACTATGATAGGGACTAGTTCAGGGATGCTGCAGAGATGATGCCGATTCCTCTGCTCTGCAGAGGACCAGTCCCACTGGGCACAGGAATCCTGGTTAACAACCTCTAACCACAGCAAACCACTCTGCAAGTGCTCCCAGACACCCAGGCAAGTTGCAAGGGGGTTGTCTCCAGACACTGGCACCTCTCCACTGATTTCCTCCCTGGTTCCTCACGGCAGGGTTTGCACAGTGGCTGTTTCCCCAGGGAAAGTTTACCGTCTCCAAATTCCCAAGCATGTCAGTTTACAGTAATGTCAGATGAGCTGAGATTAGCCTTGCCACTGAGCAGGGAGCTTTGCTCTGCAAGTGGTTTACACCAAGAGGCAGCATGCCAGTGCCAGGGAGAGAGGCTCTATTTGTTCAGACAAACCACAGTACCTGGCTGCCCATGCTGAGAACTGGGGCTTTGGAGAGCATCCTTTAGAATTCTTCATCTGATCATCACAGGACAGGACCAGCATTTCTGGGAGCTGCTGGTGGGATTTCCTCACAAACAAACCTCACCCTTGGCAAGGGTTATCCCCGTGGCCTTGCCAGAGACATGCTTTCACCTGGTCTTTCATTAACCTTTCTCTTCAGGGTACAAGGCGGGTGGCTCAGGACACACACCATGTCCCTCAGCCACCCAGCATGGCTGGTCCAGGCCACAGTCCCACTTCAGACCAGCTTTGACTTCTGCCAAGTTGCTCCACCAACACACTTAACTGCACTTCACAGTTTTGTTACCAGCGATCTCATGTTATTCACACAGTAAAGGAGGTGAAGGTTGCAAAAAAAAAACACTTCTGTGCCAGAATAAAAAGCAAAGCTCAAAAAAAAAAATCCATGCAAAAGGGTGAGAAGGGGACTAATTATTTTGCTCTACCCCTCATTAGTAGGAGGAGGCTCTCAAATAGGTAAATAAGTGCTGCTATTGCCTTTTCAGCAGCTCTGCTATGTGTAATAGTAGGGTAATGTTTCTATTTAGCATCTCTGTAGAAGTCAGACTTCCATCTGACTTCAATTTTGTCTGTCAGGAGAAGGGTCTCAATCTTAAAAAGGCATCTGCCTGCTGCTGTTACAGGGCAGGGAGAGAATAAGAGATGAAAGTTGTGGTTTTTAGGGTTTTCCACCCATCCTGAATGAGGCAGGAAGCAGCAGTTGTGTTTTCCCAGCATCACTTAATGCTGAGCAAGGGATTCCCTTCCCCAGGCCCCCACACAGGTGAATACCCAAAAGCACACACCCCTTTCATGGAACTAACCTTGACAGCTCAGCTCCAATACATCCTGCTTGGCATCACCCCAGCACCAGATACATGCAGAGACCAGAGCTCCAAAATGCTGAGACAACATTTAAAGGAAAATTTTTAAAAACATACATTATTAAATGAAAGATCCAAACTGACCAAAAAGTTGTTTCTTAACATTCATGAGCTTAGAAGCTCTTATCCCAACTACAAAAGCCCTGGGCCCTCGTTTTGGAAAGCACAGGAACAAGTAAGGCAAAACAAGAGGAGCTGTGTCTGTTCCTGGCAAAGGAAAAGTTTATAATGAGAAAGAAAAGGGCTGTTTCATGCCTTGCAGCACAGCACAGGGAAAAACCTGCCATAAAGGGACCAGCACAGTGGCTGTCCTGATACAGGAACACCGATCACACAAAGCCAAAGGAGGCAGCCCCAGGACCTGTCATCACTAGCATCTTCCCTTTAGCTACTGGCATGAGCAGCAGCTGGAATTGAAATTGCTTCAAAAATTAAATGAGGATTAAGTCCCAGATTGCTCCCAGAAGGGGTGGACCATGGAAAGACAAAGATGCATGTAACACAGCAGCTTGTGATACCCAGGAGAGGCTCCATGGTCCAGCAGCCCCTCTTACATGGGAGGGGATATTACAGGCTGGTTTTAGTTGCTGCTCAGTAATGTTTACCCTGACCAAGAACTTTCTGAGTCTCATGCTCTGCTAGGGAGGAGGGGAAGCCAGGAGGAAGCAGAGACAGGACACCTGACCCAAACTAACCAAAGAGGTATTCCATACCACAGCATGTCATGCCCAGGATGTAAACTGGAGGCAGTTACCCGGAAGGGCTAGATCACTTCTTGGTCAGGCTGGGTATCGGTGGGTGGTGAGCGCTTGTATTCTCTTCCCTTGTTATTTCCCTTATCATTATTATTGGTGGCAGCAGCAGTGGTTTGTGTTATACCTTAGTTACTGGACTGTTCTTATCTCAACCCATGGGAGTTACATTCTTTCTATTCTCCTCCCCATCCCTGGGGGGGGGAACGGAGGGACGGATAACACACAGACTGCGTGGCTGAGTTTAAACCACAACACCCTGCCAGTTCTTTCAAGGCATTCCTGTGCCCAGGCTGCACAAGGGCCCTTGAAGGGACCCTGCCTGTTCTGCTGCAGGAGCAGCAGCCATTCCCCCTTGCTGGCCAGGGTTGCCACTCTGCTTTCAGCAAGAGGGGCCAGAAATGCCAAGACCCATAAGCAGAACAAGTCCCACCCAATGCCTCCGGTTGTTCGGTGGCACTGGCTCCGGGAGCAAAGCCAGAACTCAGATGCTAATTGAGAACCAGAATGATTCAGTGTCCTGGAACATCACAATGCTCAAGGAGAAGGGTTTGCCTGCACCAAGGTTTGGTTCAGAGGAACAGAAATGAGAGGTGATGACTTTACACAACAGGAAACCCCCCTTAAGTGCTTCATGAGAGTGGGGAGATCACTGACAAAAAAAAACATTTCTGAGAAAAAAATAACATGCCCTGAAAACAACAATTCAGGCTCACAAGACAGCAAACACTTGTAAGTTTTCTCATCTGTCTGA